GTCCCTCTTTCTGTAAATTTTTCACATTGTTGACTTCTTATTCAGAACCGCTGGGCAATTGCCACAAAGCATACTTGGGTGAAGGGGTTTCAAGTTTGTTCAAATGAAGGGCCACATCCCCTTCCAAGGGAAAATTTTGTGTCATCTTTTAAAGATCCTCTTCTCAACAGCCATTGAACCAGAAAAGTTGAAACTTACGTGAAACCTTCATTACACAGTGTAGAATCAAGTTTGTTCAAAACATGACGCCCGGGGGTAGGGTGGGGCCACAATGAGGGATCAAAGTTTTACCTAGCAATATATTGGAAAAATCTATGAAGTATGAAGATATTTGAATTTTGGAGGAGAAAAGTTTATGTTATTTATCCTTAAGAGAGAGATGACCTTAACTGATTTGGATTGCCATTGTTTTTTAAAGATACTGGCCTGATGAAAGAGTGCGAGACATTGAAGCAATGTAGACAAACATACAGACAAATCTTATCTGCCCTATGTTCAGGCAACCAAAACAGGTTGCAGTTTAACTAGTATTATATAAAACCCAATAATCTTGAACATGGTATTTTTTCTTTTAGGTAATGCATCCATAACGCAATAAAACAAGTTAAACAACATTTATGTTAATAAAAATCTGCCCCACACCTAATTTCATCTAAATCAATCTAGTTATTAACAATCCATATGCTTAATCACTATTACAACAAGGATATTGTCTTTAAGATGTTTGAATTTTTTTTTTATCTTTAAATGAACTTCACGACAAATTTAGACATTTGGTATTTGTATTTAATGAGAATGGAAGGATCCCATCACGGCGTGTTCCCTGCTATTTTATAGAGTGGTTAAGTGATGTCTTGGCTGATATTCTTTGTTGGCGGTGTTTCTGGTTTTTATTATTCTTTTTCAATCCATTATGGGCTTAATTGGCACCCAAACTTGATGCCTTATCAAACAAATACTTTCAAATTGTGTTTTACTCTAAAACAGATACTAATCCTAGTGTCAATTATTTCAATATATCGCTGCTGAAAATCGTTTAAAAAAATTAAACAAGATCTAATAAAATCCCCCAAACCATATCGTGTCATTTTCTTTTTTTCAAATCACGACATAACAATGATCATCATAAGATAAATATGCATATATTTCTCCTAACGGTCTATATATTTGTATGCGCAAGTATCGTGGGCCGATATTTATGTTCCCCAAACGAAGTTGGGGAACATATTGTTTTTACTCTGTTTCTTATTATTAAGGTCTTCCGTCTTCAGCGGAAGACCTTTCTGTTATTCTTAGGTTTCTTTTTCACTTTTATTATTGTTTTTTTTCTTACCGATTTTGTGCACGCGATTTCTCCAAAACGGCTTGATGAATTTTCATGAAACTTTCAAGACTTATGTACCATCACTTGAACCTTATGCGTTTTTTTTCTTTTTTGATGACGTCACTTCCGGTCTGAGATATTGCCGATTTTATGAATTTTAAAGGGTCAGGTTGTCCAGAGTTTTTCTGGAAAATGGGTTAAGATAGAAACATGAAACTTTCAGGTATGATAGACCTATGTCTGTAGATGTGCCTTTCGCAATTCGATTTTTCCGGAAACGCCGCACGTCGGCGCTCGCAATGGTCCGAAAATAGTCCTGTCGTGAATTTCAAAATTTCGAACACCTTTTCTTCGATATCTTTTTACCTAGAAATATTTTGTAAAAATATATAGAATAAAAGAAGTGTGGAATTCCAAGATCTTTCAAATGATATCTCAAAAAAGGGGCTGGCCCTTAAAATTAAGGGCCTAGAGGGGCCGAAAGTTTTTTCTTTGTATCTCAAAACGTGTTAAGAATTTGTAATACGTCAAAGAGGCAAAGTTGTTCAAAATATCAAGCTCAATCTATTGGAGTCGTCAAAGTGCGTCCGGCGTCGTCACTTCCGGCCAAACCGGAAGTAATCGAAAAACGCGTATTTTTGCTGTTCTTGACAAGTTTTTGGGTAACATATGTCTCTGGGAGCTTAAAAATTAATTTTCCGTCCGTCGTCATTACTTCCGGTCAAACCGGAAGTAGCCAAAAATGGCTTATTTTTGCATTAATTAACTCAGCTTTAGAGGATTCAAAGCATTTTTGGGCGTTATTTCTCATTTTTGTTAAAAATGAAAGCTACTTCCGGTCAAACAGGACGGAAGACCTACTCGTTGCTTTGCAACGAGCTTTGCTCTAGTTATTATTATTTTTCTTCCTGGGAAAATTTTGTCCGCGAGTGATCTTGTAAACTATACATCCGACTTAGGTGAAACCTTTTTAGGGTCAGTAGGCATGTTATGTAGAGTTGCCCAACGAAGGTCATTTTGCGCGCACGTGCTTGCAAGAGCACGCACGTGCAACACGTTAAATGGCCAATATAATGTATACTGCCGTAACTTTTCTATTTTTTGATGAAATGCTTTGAAACTCATAATGTAAGGATATATTAGTAGTATAGACAAGACGACATGGTCAAAATACCAAGATCTCACGCGCATGCACGTGCGCTTTGCTCTTATTGGCTGAAACTAAAGTCTCAATATCTTTCTTGTTTTTTGACGAAATCCTTTGAAAGTTTGAATATAGCCCTGCATTAGGATATGCTACAACATGTTATAAAGCAATTATCATGAAAACACGTGCATGCACGTGCGCTGCAATCTGATTGGCTGAAACTTTAAATAGCTATAACTCCCTTGGTTTTCAACCAAACAGGATGGGATTTGGAACATAGATATATATAATGGACTTCTACAAGAAGGTATGATCACCATGCACATGCATACACGTGCATGCATGTGCGCTGCAATCTGATTGGCTGAAACTTAAAATAGCTATAACTCCCTTGATTTTCAACCAAACAGGATGGGATTTGGAACATAGATATATAAAATGGACTTCTACAATAAGGTATGGTCACCATGCACATGCATACACGTGCGTGTACGTGAGCTGCAATCTGATTGGCTGAAACTTTAAAAAGCTATAACTCCTTTGGTTTTCAACCAAACAGGATGAGATTTGGAACATAGATATATTAAATGGACTTCTACAATAAGGTATGGTCACCATGCACATGCATACACGTGCGTGTACGTGAGCTGCAATCTGATTGGCTGAAACTTTAAACAGTTTTAACTCCCTTGGTTTTCAACCAAACGGGATGGGATTTAGAACATAGATAGATTTAATGAACTTCTACAAGAAGGTATGGTCACCATGCTCATGTATGCACGTGCGTGCACGTGAAATGGGTAAAATGAAAAATACACTTGAATGAGCGAATTTTTTAATACTTTTGGATTAAATACTTTAATATTTAGTATATTAAAATATATAGATTGTGTTGACAAGATGATATGGTCATTACGTATATGCCTTCACATGCGCACACATGCAATGCTAAAATTTGAATGAGCATGGTACATTTCTGGGTAAACATTGTTAAAATTTCAAATGCATAGAGTTTGTGTTAATAAATGAAGCTTACAGGGAATATGGCACCAAAAGGGAGTTGGGGAGCGTTTGGGGAACATCTGTAACGGTCCCCGTTACAATTAGCACTAGTTTGAGTTGAAGTATATATGGAAGTTTAAAGCCACGTTTTTTTTATTTAGTAAATTTATTTTTGGCCAACTTTTTTTAGGTAAATCTACAAACAATTTTCAGTTTTAATTAAGGATTTATGTTCCCATGATTTATTGAATTTTATTGAAGCAAAAAAGTGATAAAACGTGTCACTAACATCCATTCATAACGGCTAAAATACCACCTACACCTATAACACATGGACAAACTCATGATAATTAAAACACATTGATAAATACAAATAAAACAAATGTTTGCCAGAACGCTTCATTTCCTGCACGGGTTCAACTGTGTGTCAATTAAGTGATCTCATTAAGTGAAACGTTTGTCTGAAAAACTGGAGAAATTGAGGTTCGTTCGATATAAACAAATCTAGCAACCTGCGATAAACATCTTGTCATGGAAGGTGGGTTCAAATTCAGATGTGCGAATTTTGTGACCTATACTTACACGTGTAGATACTGAATGTCAGGACGAATAAGGTATTAAATGCAATAAAATAATTTTGTTTATCTAGAATACTGAATAATCAATTACATAGACATGTACATGCACTTGCAAAAATAACTCAATTGTTGAATGGAGGCCTATAATGAAAAGTAAAATTGCAAAAATGCAGTCAATTTTACGAATATGCATGAGTCTAGAAACTGGAGTTTTCTTTGATTTTTGACAAAATTGATAAAAGTTTACATATACTGATTTATATTTTTTTCAATGGAGAAATCCAAGTCAATGTTATGTTGACTTCTACCCGCATGTGAACTATTCTGATGAGACTGAGGGGTGTTCTCGTCCCCCGACTTTGTCGGTGATATTGATGGGTATCTCTCTCGCCTTTTTGTTAGACTGTCTTTTGTCATCAATCTGGTTTCATTTGCTTCGCATCGCTGCACAAAACTGTTTTACTTTTAAGAAGTTTTCTGAAACGGTACACTACTTGCATTTCAATTGATGGCTTTGAATATGCAAAGTTGCTTCATTGTTCCAGCTAATCTTATGCAGGGTTGATGCATTATAGCCAACAGATAAACGTAAGCGTGAAGAAAAACGCTTGCAAAGCCTTTATACGTGCAGTAATAAATGCATTGCAAATGTTTTTTGAATGAAAAGAAACAAAGTTTACATAACAAAGATATTGTGTCTAAAATTGTCAGTGTTTGCGAAAAATTTAAATAAGTTGCAATTTACTTCACGCGTATAGCAGAGGAATAACTCACGCGACGGAGGAACGATTTTGGCAACTCGACTATTTGACGAACTCAGTCAAGTGTTAAGAACACGCGACGGGCCCGCGACGCGGATACGGCTAGCGATAAAGCGGTGCGGAGGTGTGGCCTCACTTATACTATTGTCAATACCTGTATAAAAGAAACTGTCCTGTCCGACACCCATATCAAAACTTTTACATCTCACCTATCGAAATTAACTATACCTGAGCGATTTTGTCAAAACTAAAGCTCTCTTCTGACAAGTTTTCGGCTTCTATCTGCACTGTCCAAGAGTTATGGAATACCAAGGGTCCGATTTTCAGCCTATCAATGCTCAAATGTTGTACCAGACATTTGTTAACGAACCCCCGGCTTGTATGTTCTCCATATCTCCCGAATCTTCCCCAGAGGCCGGGGCAACCCATATGTACGACAACAAGGAAAATGCCCGGGGGATGATGTGCAAGAGACGACTGGATTTCGGCCCCCAACAGACTGATTACCTAGGGCTGCACAAACCACCAACTGTTGCTGTGGCGAGGCGCAACGAACGAGAGAGGAACCGCGTAAAACTCATCAACATGACTTTTGCAACTCTACGAGAACACATACCGGCGGGAGCGAAGTGTGGAAAAGGCAAAAAACTCAGTAAAGTAGACACCCTAAAGGCGGCCATTGACTACATCCGGTATCTGCAGACGCTGGTTGACGAACATGATGCTGTTAACGCGGTCCTTGACAACAACTGCCTTCCGAAGTCCTCCCCCGGGGCTGCGCCTCCTCCGTCCCCCACCGCCAGTTCCCCCAACCCCAGTGTGTGCTCCGAGACCTCCCACGAGAACATGAGTCTGAGTACCGAGGAGGAGGAACTGCTAGACTTCACCAACTGGTTCTAAGGCCGCTCCATCGGTAAGCTTCTCGTAGCAATTCTTGCAAAAAGTGTATCCAATGCAAATCTGTCTAGTAATACTATAATTCTTTAATTATTTTCATCAGTATTCCTTCTAGAAATTCAAAAACATCTGGGATAAAAGTTAAAAGTGAAGATTTTAAGATAATAAATAAGTTAGAAAAGTTTAATGATTGGAATAAAATGCCATTGAAGTATTATAACTGACACCTCAATGAAGTGTCATAAATATTTTTATTGATTCCGAGGTGATACTTTATGATGTGTAGTTGTGAATCATTATGGGATAAGCACTGATCTTAGTTTGCAGGGTAAACTTTCGGTACTGAGGTATTGTTGACTTTATTGATAAAGAAGTGCCACTGAATGTCACAATACAGATACACCCCTATCTTATGGTGGCGCTTCAGTCGATAATTTCCACCTTAATCTCGCTTATGTTACAATAATTATCGGAATTGCTATCCAAAAGATTATTCATCAATGCAAAATTGATTAATACAGCACACGCTGCAAAATTCCCAAATACTTCGTAGGCAAAAGAAAGTCAGCTAATTTTCTGAGTGTAATACACTTTTTTGTTGGGTCAACATTGGCATAACTCTACTTTTTTTGTGAGTCTCCTAAAATTTAGCGAGAGATCATCGACCCATGTATTGATCAAAGTAGCTAAATAAATGCAAGGCTCATCTTCCAAGTTGTCTTTTATGAAACGTAATAAGATTTGCTAATTACATTCTGTTTATTTTACCCTTTGCAAACAGCGCCAGGCGTGTTATTTTATTGTCATTAAACATTTATTATTTTTTATTCAAACAGAAAGAGGCTTAAAATCAACATTCCATGATTGGATAAAAAAACGAAAGGTGCACGCGCTTGGCGTTACGTTCCCTGCCAACGTAGCCCCGCCTCCAAGACACGCCCTAGCGACAACGCCAGGTGCAAAGGAGGTGTTACCTATGATTGACAGGTGGTTGAATAGCACAACACGAGCTCTTGGACTACACGCGAGTGATCGGGAACAAATAAGTCTTTCAAACGCGGAAAAAGATACTGCTTTTCTTCAAGATGACGAATGATGGTGACAAAAATATGCAAATGAGGCAAAGATGAAAATAAACTTGAATTTTTAATTATGTTTTATTGATATATTGAGAAGAATTATTATTTTTATACAATCAAATTTGAATCAGATTTATTGTATTGCTTATTGAATATATATATTTATAATTTTATACACACAATTATACAAGTGCTAATAATTTTAATTTTGTATATATTAATGTAATGACTATATAGAATTATATTTTAGATATTTGATTATAATTTTTTAAGAATAAACTTAAGAAGAAATACAACGATTTGTCTTTTTTTTTTTTTTTTTTTTTTTTTTTTTGAAACCTATGCAAGACTAACTCTTTGCTAATCTTAAACTTATGTGTGGAATAGTTGGGTATGATAGAGCTTTCATTGATCACAACTTACAAAGGTAAAGGTGCACCTTGCCGCCCTTTATGGAAAAATGCATCAATATTGCCCAAGGAACGGTTAAGGGGTCGTATGTCATTTAGAAGATAAATCACCACCGTATGGCAGTTGTAAGAATAAGTTGGAATACATTTGAATAAGATATCTGGAATGTGGTCTAACAAGGAATCCTGTCTCCGTTATGTAACGAAATCGTCAATATTAATGCTTTCAAAATAAACAGTGATATATTAAACTGTATGTTCTGTACAACTAGTAGATTCTCAATCTGTTTGTTCATTTAGATCCTTTTTATCGAGTAGAAAAGAAAGGCTATTTAAGGATATTGGCTAAAAAAATCAAAATTAAAAAAAATACATAGTAATTGAATAGATTTGAGCAAGTAAGAAGGTGTATTTTTCAAATGCAATAAACGTACAGTACGAGACCCCTGGCGCCCCCTATGGGCGTTATCACTCGGTTATCGACTTCATGGCCTCGGGTTCGGTGTTACAGATATGATACGGGTATAATCCGTATCTGGTCTGACTGTATGATGATACGTAAAACTACGTCTAATTCTGTTGTCACTGAGAACTTTATATAGAGCTATATTTACACGGCCATCCTAGATAAAGCAATGCATAATGTTCGCTCATTTGTTTGAATTGAATGGACCATTGCAGATCTTGAATGAAATGAATCAATAAAAAAATTATTTCATACTATGCGATATTTAAAATTTCGTTTTATTTATGTTGAAGGAAAAGATATAAAACAATATTCTCTAGGGCTCATGAATGGGGCCCATCCTAGAGGAAATTTATACTTTGTTTCAAAGTTTGTTGGTCACTGTCGAATGCAATATCAGATATATCTTTTTTTAATTTATTTATGACAAAAATCCAAACTATATGAATATGAATAATATAAAATCATATAATCAAGAATGCGTGACTGTTATTGCAAAATATTTTTATTTATAAGGAATTACCTCCCTTTTCATTACGAAAGCACTTGTGGAACTCGTCAATTGCACGTACCCTTTAGCATAGTGCATTCTTTTTTCACGATAGTAGATGTTCTAAAAATTGCAAAGTGTGTAAGAAATTCAATGAATATGAATATTTACAGTACATTATTAATTTGTGTCATAATTTTGAATTGTTTGCAAAGTTTTTATTGGAGCTCTCGGCGAAGTTCCTCCTCTTTGCATTCCAATTGCCGCCATAGATAAATAATTTTTTTTTATTTTTCATACTTGGACATTTTACTTGAAAAAGACGTTAATGGTAACCTAACAACCAAGTTATATGATAAACGTGACGACTTTAACTTTTCTATCGTCAACTTCCCTTACTTATGCAGCAATATACCTTCATCACTTGCATACGTAGTGTATATTTCTCAGTTGATTCGATACGCAAGAGCATGTGCTACGAATGAATAATTTTTAAAACGAGGCAAATTATTGACAAGCAAGTTGATGAAACAAGAATATCAGCAGTCTCGTTTAAAGTCATCATTTCGTAAGTTCTATGGTCGATACAATGACCTTGTCAGCAAATACAATTTATCATGGAGTCAAAAGCTGACTGACGTTTTTCATACCAATTGTTAGTCCATTATTTATACACTGAATTGACAACGGATTTTTCCGTTATTTCACGATCATGACAATGAGCACACGGCGGGTGTGACCGGTCAGCAGGGGATGCTCACTCCTCCATGGCACATGATCCCGCCTCTGATGTTTTGGAGGTCCGTGTTTGCTCTGCTCCTGTTTTGTATTGTTTTGTGGATTTTGATATTGATTACTGTTCGTTATCTCCATATCCTTCTATTCAAAAGAAGACTGAGAAAGATGCTTAATATATATGAAGGAATGTCACAAACTCATGTTCACTGTCGATCAACGGTCCGTAAATAAAGTCGTATACCGTAAAATAAGTGATTTGATAACTATCTATAGATGGTCGTCGAAAATGTCTGCATTTACAATCTTTCCTCTTATCTCCCTATGCAGCTCTTATAATTTTTGTATTATCGCGAGTCAGAGTCATTCGAAATGTCAAAACAAACACTGAAATCTTTCAGTAAACTGTGTAAAGATTAAAATCGTAGTACAATTATATCTCCCGTGTTCAAAAAATTAACAATACTTCTTTTTATGGTCTGAATTAAGAAAGATGTTATCAATTTTCTCACTCCATCAAGAAATATGTACGTCCTCTCCCATCTCTCACAGGAAGCATCTCTTTCCGCTCCATGCAGTCTCAGTACTTTCCTTTCAGCAGAATCTTTGATTTATTATTACATCTCTAAAGAACGTCTTCTCTGATTGGCTGACCTCTGAGATTTCAATAGTCTGATGTAATATGTGTCTAAATCCGGGTCTTTAGATAAGGGGAGATAACTGAAGAGATCTTATTATCTGATGCTATCAAAATTAATTATCACGTCATTTTTCCGGGAGAATGACATGCATATAATGAAATAATCATGTCTGTAGCGTTCTTTACCCCCTTTTAAATACTTCTCTTGTCAATTCATGTGGCCATGGCTCGAGAGATCGTTAACGAATGCAACGAAGTTGTATTATTGAACTCAAGTTATAAATCAAACATTTAGTGTAATTGTTCCAGAGTCAATTATTTGTCATAATAGCAGAGTTAAAAACAGTCTGTGTTTAGAGATCCAAAATGTCTATAACCCCCGTCAGACTGAGTTTTGATTCCTTTCTGAAGTCTGTGGATTTATACCATAGTAACAAAAATTTACAAAATTAAATTCAGAATTTAATGTCTTATAATGTGACCATAGAAAAGTAAAATGATTTTTATTTTGAAATAAAAGCATGAAATATCATTCTTGAATTTCTCGAGTTGTTAAAGACAAATAAAAATGTAATTATGGAAACTTTAGTGGATACTTTTCAGATAGAATGACTTTTTAATGTCGAATAAAGTCGTGGATATTACTTTCGGTAATTTTGTTGCCAATTTACGAGAAACTAGATTTTCATGCTACATGTGAAAAATTTGAATCCAAAGATCCATATCTCTGTTAAAAAAATTTCAAAATATTATCACAACACAAGAGATAAAATGACCAAATGTAAACGTGTTCATCAAAATACTAGTATTTTATGAACTGAATTCTGATCGCGAGATCCGGTGGGTTTCTACAGAGATTGTGTTGATTTGCTGGAACCATTTGGGTATAGGACCAAAAATATTCTCCATAACTTTGGAACTAGAAACAAATGCTATACCTACACACAGCAAAAAAGATACGTGTATATTTATAAATAATCAGACTGTAGAAAATGAGAGGAAGGGACATGGACATTTTGATGGACCACTGACTTGATATATACTTGGTATTGCTCCTATCATGATATGAAATTAAACATTATATTTATGTTCCCCAAACGAAGTTGGGGAACATATTGTTTTTACTGTGTTTCTTATTATTATTATTCTTATTATTATTATTATTATTTTTCTTCCTGGGAAAATCTTTTCCGCGAGTGATCTTGTAAACTACACATCCGACTTAGGTGAAACCTTTTTAGGGTAAGTAGGCATGTTATGTAGATTTGCGGAATCAAGGTCATTTTGCGCGCACGTGCTTGCAAGAGCGCGCACGTGCAAAACTTAAAATGACTAATATATAATGGATATAACCGTAACTTTTCTATTTTGTGACGAAATGTTTTGAAACTTATAATGTAAAGATATATTAGTAGTATGCACAAGATGACATGGTCAAAATAGCAAGATCGCACGCGCATGCACGTGCACTTCGCTTTGATTGACTGAAACTAAAGTCTCAATATCTTTTTTGTTTTTTGATAAAATCATTTGAAATTTTGAACATAGTCATATATTAGGGAGATCTACAGCCTGTATTATAAGATTTATCATGAAAGCATGTGCATGCACATGTGCTTGCAAGAGCTCGCACGTGCAACACGAGAAATGTCCAATATAATTGATACAGACGTAACTATTTAAATTATTGATGAAATGCTTTGAAACTCACATTATAAGTATATATTAGAAGCATAAACAAAATGACATGGTCAAAAAAGTAAGATCTCACGCGCATGCACGTGCGCTTCGCTCTGATTGGCTGAAACTAAAGTCTCAATATCTTTCTTGTTTTTTTGATGAAATCCTTTGAAATTTAGGCATGTATTAGGATATCCTACAATAAGATGTATAGCAATTATCATGAAAACGCGTGCATGCACATGCGCTGCAATCTGATTGGCTTATGCTTTAAATAGCTATAACTCCCTTGGTTTTCAACCAAACAGGATGGGATTTGGAACATAGATAGATATAATGGACTTCTACAAGATGGTATAGTCATCATGCACATGCATACACGTGCGTGTACGTGCACTGCAATCTGATTGGCTGAAACTTTAAACAGCTATAACTCCCTTGGTTTTCAATCAAACAGGGTGGGAATTAGAACATAGATAGATGTAGTGGACCTCTACAAGAAAGTATGCCATCATGTCATGTATGCACGTGCTTCTACGTGAAATGAGTAAAATCAAAAATACAGTTTAATGAGCGTATTTTTTTTTTATACTTTTGAATTAAATACTTTAATATTTAGTATATTGAAATATATAGATTGTATAGACAAGATGATATGGTCTTTACGCACATGCATTCACATGCGCACGCGTGGAATTCTAAAATTTGAATGAACTTGGTACTTTCTGGGTAAATGTTGTTAAAGCCTCAAAT